AGCATTAAATCTTGGGAGGCAGAGGCAGGTGGATCTCTAAATCTGAGGCCAGCCTGGTCTACAGACTGAGTTCCAGGACAGCCAGGGCTATGCAGAAAATCACTTTCTTGAAAAAAAATTTTTTTCATGAGATTATAAAACTAGCAGGAGTGTTTAAAGTAGAAGTGGAAGTGTTCAGCAGTTAAGGGCTCTGGCTGCTCTTCCTGAGGACCCAGGTTCAATTCCCAGCACCCACATGGCAGTTCATAACCATCTGTAGAATCCAGGGTATCTGTCCTCTTCAAGCACCAAACATGTACATGTTACATGAAAATACATGTAAACAAAATACCCATACACATACAATAAAATAACAAGCAAATAAAATATAACCAGGAAAAGTGATATAACCTACTAGAACATACCATATATCTACAAAAACGGATGAAGTTGGTATTTAAGACAAACAGGGTGTTACAATTATTTTTATTGCCCCTGTAAACCAGCTACATGTGGGAACTTCGTGTGTAACTAACGGTTTTCCTGGATGAGACCATTCATGGCTTGGTACAGAAATGATGACACAGATGATACACATAAATAATACACCTTAGTTATTGGCTGAACTTGGAATTTTAATTTAAACACACAAGGAAAAGAAGTAGTAGTAAAATTAAGAGAGAATATAAAATGAGCAAAGGGAGTGAAAAGACTTTCTAAGGCTAAACTTGCACAGTGAAATTTGCATAAATCCAAACATCAAAAGCATGGTGGTGGTAGCACTATGATTATAAGGTAGTAGATCAAGGGATCGTTTGTTAATAAGCCTCGGGGGTGGCCTTGATCTGGAGGTGGTGGGAATGGGGGGTGGGCTGGGGGGAATGGGAGGGGGCAGGAAGGGGGAGAACAAGGGAATCTGTGGCTGTTATGTAGAACTGAATAGTATTGTAAAATAAAATAAAGAAAAGAAAAAAATAAAAATAAAATAAACTGCAAGAAAAATTAGGGCGAGACTATCAAAAAAAAAAAAAAAACTTCAATGAATGTGGAAGAAGCCATAAGATCAGGCCTAACAGGTAAGAGATACCATAAGTGACACTCCATATAAGAATGTTTAAGCCACAGAAAGATACAAGAAAAGGCTTGACTGTTAAGGTGTACAAAATATTCATTTCAATGTTAATGAAGCACACTTTTCACTTATTAATCTACAAATAAATAGAAATAAGGAATGTACAGGAATAATAATAATAATTTTTTATCTACTATTGTACACCTAAAAATTGTCATGAAAAAAGTTTCATAGAAAAAAGTATGAATATTAAAAAATGGTTGAGTGTAACATGTAAAGAGAGAAATAAAATTGATTGGGTCAAATATTTACAATTAACCCAGTAAATATTATCAAGGACTATATTTGTACTGAAGCTTTTTCTTAGAAGTATACTATTGTCTCCAGGTAAAAGGGTAACATTTGTATTAATAGATTAAAAATTAAGCATGTTACCTATGCAAACTGGGAATGACTTTGGGATAATTTATTTCAAACATCCAGTTTTTACAATGCTGTTATGATGTTGCATGTTATTGAAAAGTAGTTTGAAATTCAATGTGCAGTCAACATTAAGCAGATTCATTTTTTCTCTTCTAATGAAAAACTATAACTCCTTTAGATTTAGCAGGACTGTTATGGCAGCAGGAAAAGATAGCCCTTTGCCGTGATCTGATGTCCTCTCCAAGCTAGGGCACAGTGAACTGTTTTTGATTCCAACATCCAATGCACCTGTGACTTTCATAAATCCTACATGATTCTCCTACATCTGTGATCATGCTGACATTTGAAGATGGTCTTCAGGCATATGCAACACAAGCCAAATCCTAGGTTGTATAATTCCTTGAAATACCATAGTTATGATGTTTCTAATATCTCTATAGTGCAGCTTATTTCTTACACCTCTGTTGCAGACAAACATGTTAACAGTATAACAGAATGAGACTTTTTTCAACTTATCAGCTTCAGTTGTGACTTGAAAATATGCTTTGGACATTTGTTCTTAGCTCTTAAATTCTGCTGTGCAGTGCAAACAGGAGTTCTAATAAAATGGCATCTCTTTTGCACATGATGTGCTTATTTAATTGTGGACAAGAGACCAGGTTTTCCCAGAAGGATTCTGAAAGAATGCCTAGGAGGTCCAATCTTCCACAGGCAGCCAGAGGATTTCAGACCTTAAAAGTCTTCCACTGATGCTAGAAATTGTATCTCTTTCCCACTTAAGTCATTAATGTGAAGTGAGGTTTATTTTCTGGGGGAAAAAGCAACTCTCTTACAAAATTCACAGTGGGCTAACAATTTCCAAAATGTGCTTGGAATTAGAGATTTTAGAAGCCAGGGTTTCTTCTTTGATACACAGATTAAACAGCTTGATTCACTGGCTATTAACATTGTGTTTAAAAGTTAGCCATGGAGGCATAGTTGAGACTTTCTACCTATTATCTCTGGGTGTCTTATCTTTCTATATATTTTTGTACAGGTTTACTTTTCATTCTTATCTAGTATTCCATTTTTAAGAAGAAATCCTAGGCGAGGGAGATACGTATCTCTAATATACAGTTGCTTATGCCGTAGTTAAAATTATGTTACACTTAAATTTACGAAAGGACAGGAAGTCTTCACATTTGGTCATCTGGAGGAAAAGGTCACCACAGTCCTCACGTTCAAAAGCTCAGCTTGGTGGAGGACAGAATTCTGGCTTGGTCCCAGCACACTCCCTCACCTGACAAAGGAGCCTTGCAGATAATGAACTACTGAAGTAAAGCAGAATTCCCTGATGACTTTGTTATCGATCTTGTTGAGGAGACCTTGTGGCAGTGATGCCCTTGCTGGCGAAGGTATGTCTTGGCATTATTGTGTAAAGTTCTACTTGTACATCCATACTCCTGAATTGAAGCAACTCCTGGCTAGCTGCATATTCCACTTTTAAATTGTCTGTAATGTCAAGGTACATGAGTGCTGTCCTTTGATATTCTCGATCACGTAACCTTTCTCACAAGGAGAAAGGGACAGACTGGAGTTCTCCCACTTTGGGAGGACAAGTTTGTCCACAAAATATGCCGTTTCTCAGAATATTTAGAATATTTTCTAATTTCAAAATTAATTATCTTACACCCAGAGTGATTTAGGAGCAAAATAAAACTGTGGGAGGTGTGAGTTAACCGAAGTCTTTCTATAAAAAGTAACAACCATTTTCTACATTACTCTATTAATTTCTGCTTAATTTGTTAATTACTGGGGTGAACGTGGTAATTTGATGCATGAGTTCAGTGTGTCGGGATAAACATCAGGCCAGCTGACATCTTTTACTTTGATTCCAAATGACCCTGACACAGAGTCTCATCTAGTAAAGGAGGTGGTTGTGCCAGGGATCCAATGGGAGTGAGGAGCTCGGGTGTGTCCACTGCTCCGGACTCTCTCAGCACACTTTGTCCTCCAAAGGGAAATTACCGTATCTGCAGCACACTGTGTTTGGGATGACCTAAAGTTCCCTATCAGTAACCTGAGGGGAGATTCAGTAACTAGGGCTGCTAGTTGAGTTTTGTCTGTAGACGTGGAGAAACCTGACTAGGTAACTTCCAGCACATTGAACAAATGCGAAATTCTGCTCTTAATGTAATGAAGAGAAAGGAAAATGTATTTTTTCCAGTTTCCCAGCGCTCAAAAATAACTTTAGCACATGCAAGGATTCAGCGGACAATGACTAATGCTCTAATGATGAGAAGCCAGAACAGGGCTGGTCTTGGTAGCCCAGTATCCCAGCACTCAGGAGGTACGGGAAAGGATTGAAAGTTAAGAACACACCTGGGCGACTGAGCATGATGAAGTCCGTAGCCTGACTGCATAGTGAGACCTACCCTGAAAAACCAATAACTAAGGGTGTAACTTAGGGGCACAGTACTCGCCTGGGCCAGGTGTTTACACACACACACACACACACACACACACACACACACACACACACACACGGTGGAAATCAGCCTAGAACTCCAGATTTTTGGCAGTGACTGGTGCCAGGGTCTGGATAACATCTGAAACCCAAGGCAATTTAGGAGCAAAATGAAACTGTGGGCAGTTTAGTATTTTTACTGGCTTGGGAATACTGGGGAGATATGCGTTAACTGAAGTCTTTATATAAAAAGTAACAATGATTTTCTACATTGATCTATTAATTTCTGCTTAAATTTCTTTCATAACTCGTATTTTGAGAATTTGAAAAATATTGCCCAGTTTTTCTGTTACTTTAAAGCAGTCTCTTTGCTTTATGCAATAGATGAAATGTATAACATAATAAAATGCTTAATGTGGTATCACATGATGTTTTCTTGCATTATGTAGTCTTCTTGCAGCCATACTACACTCTCTTAATTTTTACATTGCACAATGATCTCAGTGTTTCATTCATTTCCCGTGTAAATTCTGTGTTTCTATTTCCTAAGACTCTCCTGTCAATACCATTGTTTACACAGATAATAGAACCAAGTGAGCTAATGCCATCATGGATAGAGACCCTTGCTCTAGTCTCTGACCAGGAAGAATTTGCAAAGAGGATTAGAAATTTTGCTGAGAACCATGAAACTGCTTATTTTATGATCATTTGAATTTCATTCTGTAATCTCAGAAGCTTTTTTCTGATTTCCTCAGTTATAACTTTAAAAAATCTTGAATCAAGAGGGGGACTGAAGACTCCATCCATGTAGAAATTATAAGGACAGAGAATCGAGAATCCTTATTGAAAAAGAGTGTGTCTACAGGCATGCATTGAAACAGCAAAGTCTTACACTAATATGTATGATTGCAACTAATATGTAAATTTGCAGGTTAAGCAAAGTTAAAAACATTAAAAATAACTAAAAAAGACTTTTCCCTCCAATAGCCTGAAACACAAGGGAGAAGAGAGATTGCCCTAGAGCTATTCCAGAATAATTTATCCCATGATTGTCGTGGATTTCTTCCCAACAGGAGTCCTTACCAGTACATGCAGATTGTATCTGTTTTGATGGTTCAGTCTCAGCCATGGAGATAGGAAATCACAGCTGGAGGACAGACTTCATCTTGCTTGGCCTTTTCCAGTATGGCCAGATGGACACTCTCCTCTTCACAGTCATTGCCATCCTCTTTGCAGTAGCTCTCATAGGCAACACCACACTGGTCCACCTCATCAGGTTGGACCAAAGACTCCACACTCCCATGTACTTCCTCCTCAGCCAGCTCTCCATTATCGATATGATGTACATCTCCACCACAGTGCCCAAGATGGCAGCTAACTTCCTGTCAGGCACCAAGACCATTTCCTTCCTGGGCTGTGAGATCCAGGCCTTTGTGTTTTCGAGCCTGGGTGGGTCTGAAGCCCTCCTGCTGGGCTTCATGTCCTATGACAGGTATATAGCCATCTGCTGGCCCCTGCACTACCCTGTGCTCATGAGCAGGAAGATCTGCTGCTCCATGGTGGCCTGTGCCTGGAGCAGTTCTGTCAACGCTTTGGTGCACACGCTGTATGCATTTCAGCTCCCGTTCTGTGAATCTCGGATTGTTAACCACTTTTTCTGTGAGATTCCATCTCTCCTGCCATTGGTGTGTGAAGACACATCCCAATACGAGCACACAATCCTCATGAGTGGCCTCGTCATTCTGCTGCTACCCTTCCTGGCCATTCTGGCTTCCTATGCTCGGGTGTTGGTTGTTGTATTCCAGATGCGCTCAGGGAAAGGGCAGAGTAGAGCCGTGTCCACCTGCTCCTCCCACCTGACTGTGGCCAGCCTGTTCTACGCCACCACTCTCTCCACCTACACCCAGCCACACTCCCTGCATTCTCCTGCAAGGGACAAGGTGGTGGCTGTGCTTTACTCAATTGTCACGCCTGTTCTGAACCCATTTATCTACAGCCTGCGCAACAAGGAAGTCACGGGGGCCCTGAGGAGACAGATGGGTTGATGGATACTGGGACAGAAACTATGGCTTTGGGTTACCTTGTGGACTGATCTCGAAGCTGGTCTTGAACACTACCTGGGAAGATGGCATGATTGACCTTCCCGTGGAAGTTCATCAAGCTTGTCTAACTCACTGAAGAAGAGCATGAAACTGTCCACTCAGTTTCACATTGAATTGATGGTTTGAATCTGAATGTTGGTTCTGAGGGAGATCAAGGGCTTTGTCCTCAGCTCTAGGACCTTTGGCTGCCTGTCAGCCTGGGTTGGCTTTCTGTGGAACTTTATCACCCTCTACCCTGATGCAAGGCACTGTGGCTTCTCAGACTGTGTGAGTCGGTACAGTCATCCTCTGCGCACTCACCTACCTCTTGCTCTGGAAGCTCTTACTGCAGTTTTTGAGTATAGCTGTATGTGTGCAGATACTTTACATAAACATGGAATGTCTTATTGGTTTTCCTTTGCAGGTACAACTATTATATAAGAGCACGTGTCTGTTTTTATACTATGGCATATTTTAAGGACAATTCTGAAAGAAGTAGGGAAGAAGATAAGTCTGTTTCCTTTGATGCTTACGTGACTATTACCACACAAGTAAGATTTCTAGGCTCCCCTAAGCTGTTTGATGATGTCTCACCAACTCCCCTTTATTAATACCTTTCTCCAAAATTTACTAATGGCTTTGTAATGAGCATCATCAATGGATCTGTCTGTCAGCACACACTCTGTCTGCCTCCACAAACACCTTATGCTGATTTCTCAGCATCATGCTAGTTCATGAGAAGGACATTAGGACACACAGAGCCAGAGTGCATCTGCTTTAGAAGTCATAGATGATTTCTGTATTTTGTCCATGGTTAATATGCAATCAATGCTGAGATCATTAATGTTATTTCGAGGAAATTTCCTGAATATCATTTTAAGAATACGATTTTTTTATACAAGGTTTCTCTATGTAGTCCTGCTATCCTGCTGCTCCCTTGGTGGACCAGAATGGCCTCAAATTCACAGAAACACTCCTACCTCTGCCTCACAAGTGCTGGGGTTAAAGGTATGAACCAGCGTGCAGTTTTCTTTCTCTCTCTCTTTCTCTCTCTCTCTTTCTCTCTTTCTCTCTCTCTCTCTCTCTCTCTCTGCCTCTCTCTCTTTCTTTCTTTCTTTCTTTCTTTCTTCTTCCTTCCTTCCTTCTTTTCTTCCTTCCTTCCTTCCTTCCTTCCTTCCTTCCATTTTTCCTTCTTTTTCTGCAATCACTAGCTTTTGTTTTTGTTTTAATTTGAAGTTACACATGCATATGGATGCTGGGAATTGAACCCAGGTCCTCTGGAAGAGCAGTCAATGCTCTTAACTGCTGATCCATCTCTCCAGTGCCCCCTTTTTTCAAATGTTTAAATCATTGCCATGTAGTTCAAGAATCGATAAATGGAAATGTCTATGCACCTATGCAGTGGTATAAGTAACATGACAAGTAAGTCTCAGTGTTAGAACATGCATGTTGTGGGACTAGAGAGGTGGTACAGCCATTAACAGCACTGGCTGCTCTTCTAGAGGACCTGAGTTCAGTTCCCAGCACCCATGTGAGGTAGCTCACCACTGTCTGTAATTTGAATTCCAGGGTGTTCGAGGCCTGTAGCCTCCAGGGGCACCACACTTACATACACATATCCACATCCACACCCACCCTTATACATAATTAAAATAATAATTATAGATACATGATGTGAAATATCTTAGAGATTCATTATTGCTTCTTTGTAATGGATGCCAATAAAATTATCAAAATGCGATAATTTTAATGACACTTAGAAACACCTGTTCTCGGTTCTAATAAAAATGAATTGCATCCATGCATGTTCTCGCTTTTGTTATTTTATTTTCTTGTAGTTTAATGGAACCCATAGACTCACTCAAAATCGAGAGACTGAAGTCGCTGAGTATCTCCAGGACTCTCCCCTCATGTACCCCCCCCCCATCGTTTGTGATCTGAGGGTCTGTATAGATTCTATAGATTCCTGCATCTGAATACTCGGTCCCCAGATGGTAATGGTGTTTGGGACAATTTGGAGCCTTTACAATATGGAACCTCAATGAAGTGGGTCACTGAGGGTGGGCCCTGATGTTGTATGCCCTGACAATATGTCCTGTTCTGTGCTCCAATTCCTGAGTACAGATGCGGTGTAACCAGCCAGCCTCCTGGCCAAACCACCGTGCCCTCCCTTGCTACATCTTCCTCATCTTGATGGCTGATTTTGTGTGTGGGGGCGTTGTTTTTGTTTTTTTCAAGACAGGGTTTCTCTGTGTAGTTTTGATGCCTGTCCTGGATCTTGCTCTGTAGACCAGGCTGGCCTTGAATCACAGAGATCTGCCTGGCTCTGCCTCTTGAGTGCTGGGATTAAAGGTGTGTGCCACCATCGCCTGGCCTTGATGGCTTATTTTACTGGAACTGCACACCAAAGCACGTTTCTCCCTGCAGTTACTTTCTTTGGGATGTTTTACCACAGCACCAGGAAAAGAAACTAAGACAGAAATTGGTACCAAGTGGCAGAGTCATTGCTGGGAGAAACCTGAGCATGTGACTCTTAGGACTTTGAAACTGTCTTGTGATTAAAATGGCGAGCTTAGTTCTTTGGAATAGAAAAGCACTAGTGTGCTGGAAGCAGAACTTAGTGGGCCATTCTGGTGGAAGCTTGGAGACAAGAATGCCGAGAGACATGTGGGCAATACACTTCTAGCTTATGAGATTTCAGAAGAGAACAAGGACTCTACCAGGAACTAGGCCCCCAGCCATTCATGTGACATTTTGGCCAAGAATCTGGCTTCACTCAGCCCGTGTCCTGAGAACCTGAGAGAGGTTAAATTTCTTTAAATTTATTCTTCACTCATAAAATACATCTTGACCACAGTCTCCCCTCCCTCCACTCCTCCAAGCTGCACCCTGTGGTGATATATTGTGTACCCCAATAAAGCTTTCCAGGGGATCAGAGGACAGAGCCAGCCACTAAATTAGACATAGAGGTCAGGCAGTGGTGGCACACACCTTTAATTCTATCACTCGGGAGGCAGATCCATCTGCATTTCTGTGAGTTCCAGAACATATTGGGCTACATGAGAGAAACAGAACCAGGCAGTGGTAACACATGCTTTTAACCCCAGGAAGTAATATGGGATTAGAAAGGTATATAAGGCATGAGGAAACAGGAACTCGCTATCTTGAGGCTAAGGATTTCATTGAGGCAAGCTAGTGGCTGGCTCTGTCCTCTGAACCTCTGGCAAGCTTTATTGGGGTACACAATATATCACCACACAACCCCCAATTTCTCACCTTGCCCAGATCCACTCCTCCTCTGCATGCCTTCAGAAAAGAACAGGCCTGCAAGGGATATCAACCAAACATGACATAACAAGATACAATAAGACTAGGCACAAGCCCTCATATCAAGGCCAGGCAAGGCAATGAAGTAGGAAGAAAAGGGTCCCAAGGGCAGACAAAAGAGTCAGAGACACCCCTACTCCCACTGTTAGGAATTCTACAAAAACACCAAGCTAACAATCATAACATATACACAGAAGACATAGCGCAGACCCATACAGGCTCCATGAATGCTACTTCGGTCTCTGTGAGCCCCTATAAGTTCTGCTTGGTTGATTCTGTGGGTCATATTCTCCTGGTGTCTTTGACCCCTCTGGCTCCTAAAATTCTTTCTCTTCCTCTTCGGTGGGGTTCTCTGAGCTCCAAGGGGAGGGACCGAATGGAGATCTCCAATTTGGGTTCTCTCTCTGCTTTATTTGGCTGTGGGGTCTCTGCCTCTGCTCCCATCAGCTGCCAGAGGAAACCTCTCTGGTGACAATTGGGCTAGGCACTGATCTATGAGTATAGCAGGATATCATTCGGGATCATTTTATTGGGTTTTTTTTTTCTATCCTAGGTCTCTGGGCTGTCCAGCCTCCAGTTCCTGGCCATCCGGGCAGTTTGGGGCATGGGTTTCCTCTCATGGCATGGGGCTAAAATTAAACCAGTGATTGGTTGGCCACTCCCACAAGCTCTGTGCTTCCATTGCTCAGCGCAACTTGCAGGCAGGACAGACTGTAGGTCGAAGGTTTTGTGACTGGGTTAGTGTCCCAGTCCCACCAGTGGAAGTTACCTGGTTGCAGAAGATGGCCAGTTCAGGTTCTGTATGCTCCATTACTAGGAGTCCTCGCTAAGGGTCACCCTCAGAATCCTGGGGGTTTCTATGCACTGTTTCCACACTGCCCCTCAAATGTCCCCCAATTCTAATTGTCTCTCCCTGTGCTCTCTCCCTCCATTACTTCTTCCCTAATCTGATCCCACCTGTTCCCATTCCCACCTGCTCCAAGTTCACCCACTAAATTTATTCTGTTTGACCTTCCCAGGGAGATCCATGCATTTCCCCTTAGAGCCCTCCTTGTTACTTAGCCTTTCTGGGTCTGTGAGTTGTAGCATGATTGCCATCTTTTACTTAACAAATCATATCCACTTATCAGTGAGTACATACCATATTTTCTGGTCTGGGTTAGAGTGACGATAAATTTAAGGATAGTGGACTAACTGGTTTGGCAGAGGAAAGGAGTGAGAGCAAGCTTAAAGTTTAGACAGCGTACACAAAGGGACGCTGCGGTAACTATTAAAGAGGTTAGAGCCATTGAAGAGCAGCTTGGTGCTTGACACGGGGACAATGGAATAAGTATCTTGATGGCAAAACCATACCCATCAAAGGGTCCAACTTGTAAAGAAGCAAATTTCCATGAAAAGAGAGAGCCTGAACTGAGTTCTTGCTCCTTGAAAGCAACTGCTTAGGAGATGTTTCTCCAGGGTCAGCACTGATGCAGCTGTGGTCAGGTGGGAGATGCCGCAGACAGGCTCCATGTTAAGCTAGCAGCAGAACTTTGCAGAATTCTCCACATGGAAATGGATTTGAAAACATGAAAAATGAGAAATTGGAGTAGGGTATGGAAAGCGGCTGAGGTCAGGCAAGTGTGTGGCATGGCCAAAGTCCCTGCAGGAGGCTGTGAAGGTGAAACCTAGACTGAATGGAGCCCCTAGAACTGTGGGACATCTGCCAAGAATACTGTGGACATAATGAGGAGCAGGCCCAAGAGAGAGGCTATGTGTGCTACAGGCAGCCAAGCTAAAGCCGTAGGGACTACCTAAGTCCTTGGAACTGAGAGGATTCCAAGTCCTTGATGCCGGACATGGAAGTGCAGGGCTAGGTGTTTGCCTTGCTGGGTTTTGATCTTGCTGTGGTCTGATCTTTCTCCTTTAGATGGGGCGTATGTATTATATACCATTATACATTGAAGGTATTGGTTTGGCTTTTTATTATTTTTATTTTATAGGGAGCTATAATTAAGAAATTGCCTTACGTCTCAGAAGAGCATTCAGACTTTGGACTTTTTGACAGTTTTGGGACAGTTAAAGACAATGGGGACTTTTGAAGCTGAACAAAACACACCTTGCATCAAGAGATGGCATTGGGAACCAAGCATGGAACATGGAGGTTTGGAATGAGGAATGTCCCCCAAAGGCTCACGTGTTTGAACACTTGGTCCCCAGCGGCTGGTGCTGTTTCCAAAGGTGCAGTCTTCACAAGGAAGAGCCTCATTGGATGATGTGGGTCCCTGGGCATGGACTTCGGGGTTTTGTAGCCTGGCCCCACTTCCTGTTCTCTGCTTGGCCACACTTCCTGTGCTCCGCTTTGCTTCCTGAGCACAGCCTTCCGCCGGTACCACCATGCCTTCCCTTCCTGCTGCCCTGTCTTTCCCACCATGATGGTCTACACCCTTTTGGAGCTGTGAGCCAAAATATACCCTTCACCCCTTAGGTTGCTTTGTTGGGGTGTGTTACCACAGCAACAGGAGAAGACATGAGCACACGTGTGATTCTGAATTTGGGGTCTTACTATATTTATCTTATCACCAAATGTATTTGGATGGAGAATTTCAGAACGTTTGCTTTCAGGTATTCCCAACAAAGCAAGTTATTCATGCTGTCTGCCATTCCCTTGGAAATAGCTTTTTCCCCCAAGTGATTTTATTTTACTATAGTGATGTTGTTTATTGTCACAATAACATCGTTTTGGTGGAGGTATAATTTCTTTATTCATGTATGTATGTGTCTATGTGGGTGAATGTGAGCATGATGGGGAGGAGGGGTATGGGACTGTGCACAAACACACACACACACACACACACACACACACACACACACACACACACACGATAGAGGAAGGAATCCTACCTCCTCTTCTATCACTCTCCACTTATTCCTTCGAGGCAGAGGCTCTCCCTGAACCTGGGACTCATGTTTTCTCAGCTAGACTGGAGACCAGTAAACCCCAGTAATCCCCCTGTCTCTGACCTACTAGGAGCTGGGGTTACAAGTGTGAGGGGGAGGCCTGGGTGCTGAGATGCCAACTTTGATCCTTATGCCTGCCTTGAACTCTGCTTGGCCACCTCGCCAGTTTCGAGGTTTTGTTACTGAATACTTTCTTCTGTAGCATTGTGAAACCTCTTCTACAATCCCGAGGACTTTCCACATGGTGAGTTGTGGGAATCCTCCAGACCATGCTCAATGTTTTCTGTTTCTATTTTTAATTTTATCTATTCTATGTGTCTTTTACATCATGTGTCTTGACCTCATTCATTTCCTTCAAATCTTCCCTCCACCCCTGCACTCCTCCCCCAAATAATACAAAATTTAGAGAAAAAAGGAAAAAGAAAAAAAGATTAATTAATCACTTTTTTTAAGGGAAAAACTTAAAAAATCTCATCATGGAAATTGCAGTGTGACACCGTGAGTCATGCCATGAACTCCTTTGTCCACATATCTTTACTTGCAAGTGTTCATTGCAAAGAGTCATTGGTCTGGTTCGAGGTCTCTGGTTTCTGTTGCCCTATCGATCCTGGGCACCTACTTGGGCTCCTTCCAGATATCCCGTTTTTGCCCTGTGTTATGGAGATCCTTCATCTTTGGGTCTGCAGGTGAGGTCCCTTCTGGTGCTCCAGCAGATCATAGATGGGGTGGGTGATGGGATGAGCCACGTCATATTCTTGGGTCTGGACCTGGGCAGCTGTGTTCTCATCAACAGAGTGAGTGACCAGACAAAGTGCAGGGCAAGCTTTCTCATGTGTTGTTGCTGGTCATGGGTTCGGCTCCCTCACCATCTCAGCCTGCTCCCTTCTCTCTTCAGACATGCCTCTGTCCACAGGACCTGAACCGTTCTGACTCTCATCTCTCCCATGAACCACCATACCATATCCCTGCTCACACCAATAGTGTCCCTCTGGCCCATACTGCAAGGTACCAGATGGGCCTGTGCTCTCCCCTGCCCCATCCCCAGAACCCAGAGTGGAAAGCCCCAGATCCGTCCCTCTCAGGTCGTCCTGGTGGTATGCTGGGCCATGCTATCCCCACAAAGAGATCACCACAGTGCCCAACGACCTGGCACCAAAGGCTCCTGGTTGGTGAGTTTGGTTGCATGGGGCAGGGTGGGAGGTTCTCTGGACTCCGGTCAGGGGCTGGGGGTTAGCCAATCCTGTGGCTGGCTGGGTCCTGCCCAGCCTGGCCTCATGGCAAATGTCCATTTTCTGTTTCTTAAGATGAGATCCAATCTATGTATTTGTCTTTTCACATTCTAGAAACTCCTCAGCATAGAAACCCTACCCAAACTCTGGGTTAGCATTCACTGAAAACTGGACGATTCCTGCCATGGACACCTTTATAAAGTATTGTATAGAAGATGGAGAGAAAAATGGTCCAAACTAATCAATAGTATATGTTATAGTGAAGGACAGGAGATTAAAATCATGTATATTGGCTAGGCCCATAGGAGCCAGCTGCCTATGAGGCAGGCTGAACCCATATCAGCTTCCTCTGGATCTGAGCTCCAGTCCCCACTCTGCCCAAGCCTCTGCCCCTTTCACCTTTTCCACCTGAGCAGAAGGGTCCCTGATGTCATTTCAGTGTACAAGGAGGTCCGTTCTATTCAATCTCACTGCAATTCCCCTGAATGAACTTTGTCGCAACAGGAAGAGATTAAGTGGGTACTTGGCCACAATCTAATTTCTTCCCCATGGGGTCCAATGATGTATTAGCACATTTGAATGTACCTGGGAGTTTCAGAAGTGTGAGTCTCCTTCAGTCACCGAGATGGTTTTTAGGAGCCAATGTTATAATATCTGAAACATACCAGAGCCTGGATTATTCAGCCCCTTGGAATAACTTATTGTTACTTTATGTTGTCTTCCAAAGATCTACATATTTCAGTTTCTTACTTATGAGCAGTTGTGTGTATCTCACACAGACATGAAAACCAGAAAGGGTTTTTACACTTTCAATTGTGACTGTTCCTAAGTGGAACAAATATTTTGAGCATTAACTATGAATGCTATTTTAAAGGCTTTTCTGAAATGAAATGCAGACACCAGCTCTAATGAAGCACATCTTTCGTACACAGTGTGTTTAACTGTGGACGAGAGACTAGTTTTCCCAGAAGGGCTGAGACAGAAGCCCTGTGAGTTCCAACCTTCATTAGGTAGCCAGACCATTAAAGACACTCAAAGCACTTGAGAGGATGAGAAAAATGACAGTGTTTTGTTTAAGTTCCACTTTCCACTGAAGTTTTTAGTGCTCAGGGAAGGTTCATTTAGTTATGGCAAACACAGTTTTCCAATTTCATAGAGTGGTCATAGTTCCTAAATTATGGTTGAGATTAGAGGCTGTAGGACATTAACCTTTCCTCTTCCGAAGACTCAACTCTGGTGGATTCATCTCTCAGAGCACATCACTTTCCTTTCCTGTGTCTCTTTGGTAAAAATGACCATATATATCAGAATTTCATTTAAAAGCTCATTTAGGAAGACACAGCTGTGCTCTCTAGAGCCCATCTCGCAGGCACACTGTCAGGAAACTCTTCTGTGTCTGCCTTTGCAGGTCTGATTCCCTGTAACTGTCCGAGAGAAAAGGTTTATGTGCAACAAGGTGGCTATATATGGCATAGCTGAGTTATTATTGAATTAGTTATTCTAGGAAATGACAGACAACTCATACACCTAGACATCTGGAAGGAAGAGCCCATCATCATTTCCCATGTTCTAGGCTCAGGTGGGTGGAGTCCAGAAGGTTGATTCACAGCAGGTTTCTTCAGCTGTCAATGAGCTGGACAGCCAGTGAAGTACTGAAGTGAACAGAACTGATTGGGAAACCAGCCCCGCCCTGCTGGTTCAGGTATGTCCCACAGGCATTGCCCTGTGCAGAGTGCTGCATCCTTTTCTCATAGGCTCATGTTCTAATTTAGATTTATTCCAGGCTAGAAGCCTTTCCAGGTATTGCTTTAAAAATATCTGCGTTATTGAGGTGTGTGCATGGAGTTAGTGTTCTGAAGAGTGTAACCATCTCACAGTTTTAAGGATGAGGGCTGTGGCTCAGTGTCCCAGCATAGGAGCACAGGTATGGTAGTCCAGTGAATTCTCACCTGAGAGAACAGGACCTGGCAGAGTCCCGTTCTTTCTCAGGGCAGGAAGCACATCTCTTCCTCGTTTTGACCTTGGGTTTTAAAACCACTGTCTTCATAAAATTACATTCCAAAATATTTCTGATATGCAGGAGATTCCATTATGTTTTTAAAATATTTTTAAAATGGAAAGATTTTCACTTACTTCATAGAGTAAATATTTGTATTTATTTGTATGTTGCATGGTACATTTCATTCTTCTCTTGATTTGGTTCTATTTCCATGCATTTGTCCAGGTCCTGGAGCAGTAAAGTTACTGGACACAGTTAAGCCATTCCGTGGTACAATGCCTGACTAATCAGTATTCAGAACTCAGTGAACTCACTCATCAGTGTGAACTGTGAGGCTGGGAGGAGACACTTCCAACCTACTGCTCATTTTGTTGATAGTAAACTCCTTGCTGAGTCTATGGTGGTCAGGAAAAATACCAAATCACCTCCTCTCTCTCCGTTAGAAGTTCTGGGATTGGCTGCCAGTGCAGTTTAAGTGGGCAGGACTGTATGTAGCTGGACACATGCTGCAGGGCTTGGCTGGGTCCTCACAGATGGAAGGGCATCACCACCATTGACAGGGGGTGGGGATGCAATGTGTTTAACATGGTGGTGGATGTGGTGTCAGATGCTACTTCTCCGTGTTTTCTGGAATGAATTGTGATTTTAATTTACTGAGATACAGTGTGTTAGCTTGCTACATGTTAGATTGCAGGTGGCTAACTTATTCTGTGTTGATTTCAAATAGCCCATGTAGGACTAGGGATTTAGTTCAGGAACAATGTACATCTAGCCTGCAGCAAACCTTGGGTTTGATCTACAGGATTTCACATTGTGGGTGTGATGGTACACACTTGTAAAATCCTAGCACTCGGGAGGCAGAGGCAGGAGGATAACAAGTTTGCAGTCTTATGTTTGGATACACAGTGTTCCAAAACCAACATGAGTTACACAAAATTGTGTCAAAAAGTTCAAATGACCCTTTATTCAACTTCTTACCTGGTGATTGTGACACAAATCCATCAAGAGTGAAGAGCTTAGGGTATGTCTGGTACCCTGGGCTTCTCGGGACACTCTGTCCTACACAAGAGAAATAGCCACTTCTGAAACATGCCAGATTGGGGATGGCCTGAAGTTCAAGCCATCAGCATCTGGAGGAGAGGTTAAGGATCTATGCTGCTGCTGCTGCTGCTGCTGCTGCTGCTGCTGCTGCTGCTGTTGCTGCTGCTGCTGCTGCTGCTACGGCTTACAGTGACGATGTTTGTTTTCAGAGGTGGAAAAACCTGACTAGGTGATTTCCAACACACTGAAAAAAATTCTGCACTCATTTGTGGTCAAAGGAAGAAAATGGCAATTGGGACTTTTCCAGCTCCACAGACTTTAGAACAGCAGTTCTCAACCTGTGGATTGTGACCCCAAAGACCTTCGGATAACACAGATATTTACATTAAGATTCATAACAGTAGCAACATTACAGTTATGAAGTAGCAACAAGATAATTCCATGGTTGGGGTCACCACAACATGAGGAACTGGATAAAAGGATTGAAGCATTAGGAAGGTTGAGAAGCCCTGCTTTAGAACACATAAGGTCTCGTGGGCTCTGAGTGTGACTAACACTTCTGGTGATACAAGGTCAGAGCATACTTGGGCATGGTGGTGCAGGCCTCTGATCTCAGAACTCAGAAAGTGGAAGCAAGAGGATTATTGGTTCGAGGTAAGTGCGGCCTCAAGATCCAGATCCAATCCAGCCTAGTTTAAGGGCAAAGCTCTATGTCAGGAAAACAAGGTCTGATGCTGCAAAGTGGTTCAGCACTTGGTTAGCCTGTCCAGCGCTCTGAGTTAGAGCCCCAATGACAGAGAGAGACAGACAGACACAGAGGAGACAGAGAGACAGAGAGAAAAACCAACACTCTTAGCAGTGACAGACATCATGATCTTGACAACACCTGATACCCAGGATTGACTCTCAGACATTGAGAGCAGTGAGAGAATTTTATCACTATAAATATAGGAGCAATGTGAAAGCCATGGGTAGTTCAGCATTTCTTCTCAGTGAGGGGGAGTGGATGCATGGGACAATTCCACAGTCAACGAAGACACACAAACACAGACCAGAGAGTGTCTCTGAGCTTCTCTAGGGATTGCTATTATTATTTCACATTTGCATTCATGTAGCATATTTTACTGCACCGTGAGCAACAGGCATTATAGTTGTGCGCGCGAGTGTGTCTAGGTTTTACAAAGAAAATCTGTCACCAGTGCTCAGAGCTGAGCTGTGAGCAGGTAACATCAGCTCATGAACTATGAAGCTTCTTTTTAATGTCATGTGCAGTGTTCCAGATTATTCTCAGAAAGCAACCTCATTTGACCCCTTTGTATCACAGAGTCATTTTGTTCTTAGAATTACAGACTCAGGAAATTTTAGAATTTCACGTGCTTATTAGAAATGTGAAACTGTTTAATACCTAAGGTATTAAATAATAAAAGCTAAGCTAAGTAACCCACATGCACTAAGAAAAAGTATCCCAGTGCACAACTGACTATATTCTCAACATAATTTTATCTTGATAATTTCGTGAGATGGC